TTGCGTGCCTTCTCTCTTGCGTGCCTTCTCTCTTGCGTGCCTTCTCTCTTGCGTGCCTTCTCTCTTGCGTGCCTTCTCTCTTGCGTGCCTTCTCTCTTGCGTGCCTTCTCTCTTGCGTGCCTTCTCTCTTGCGTGCCTTCTCTCTTGCGTGCCTTCTCTCTTGCGTGCCTTCTCTCTTGCGTGCCTTCTCTCTTGCGTGCCTTCTCTCTTGCGTGCCTTCTCTCTTGCGTGCCTTCTCTCTTGCGTGCCTTCTCTCTTGCGTGCCTTCTCTCTTGCGTGCCTTCTCTCTTGCGTGCCTTCTCTCTTGCGTGCCTTCTCTCTTGCGTGCCTTCTCTCTTGCGTGCCTTCTCTCTTGCGTGCCTTCTCTCTTGCGTGCCTTCTCTCTTGCGTGCCTTCTCTCTTGCGTGCCTTCTCTCTTGCGTGCCTTCTCTCTTGCGTGCCTTCTCTCTTGCGTGCCTTCTCTCTTGCGTGCCTTCTCTCTTGCGTGCCTTCTCTCTTGCGTGCCTTCTCTCTTGCGTGCCTTCTCTCTTGCGTGCCTTCTCTCTTGCGTGCCTTCTCTCTTGCGTGCCTTCTCTCTTGCGTGCCTTCTCTCTTGCGTGCCTTCTCTCTTGCGTGCCTTCTCTCTTGCGTGCCTTCTCTCTTGCGTGCCTTCTCTCTTGCGTGCCTTCTCTCTTGCGTGCCTTCTCTCTTGCGTGCCCTTCTCTCTTGCGTGCCTTCTCTCTTGCGTGCCTTCTCTCTTGCGTGCCTTCTCTCTTGCGTGCCTTCTCTCTTGCGTGCCTTCTCTCTTGCGTGCCTTCTCTCTTGCGTGCCTTCTCTCTTGCGTGCCTTCTCTCTTGCGTGCCTTCTCTCTTGCGTGCCTTCTCTCTTGCGTGCCTTCTCTCTTGCGTGCCTTCTCTCTTGCGTGCCTTCTCTCTTGCGTGCCTTCTCTCTTGCGTGCCTTCTCTCTTGCGTGCCTTCTCTCTTGCGTGCCTTCTCTCTTGCGTGCCTTCTCTCTTGCGTGCCTTCTCTCTTGCGTGCCTTCTCTCTTGCGTGCCTTCTCTCTTGCGTGCCTTCTCTCTTGCGTGCCTTCTCTCTTGCGTGCCTTCTCTCTTGCGTGCCTTCTCTCTTGCGTGCCTTCTCTCTTGCGTGCTCTCTCTTGCGTGCCTTCTCTCTTGCGTGCCTTCTCTCTTGCGTGCCTTCTCTCTTGCGTGCCTTCTCTCTTGCGTGCCTTCTCTCTTGCGTGCCTTCTCTCTTGCGTGCCTTCTCTCTTGCGTGCCTTCTCTCTTGCGTGCCTTCTCTCTTGCGTGCCTTCTCTCTTGCGTGCCTTCTCTCTTGCGTGCCTTCTCTCTTGCGTGCCTTCTCTCTTGCGTGCCTTCTCTCTTGCGTGCCTTCTCTCTTGCGTGCCTTCTCTCTTGCGTGCCTTCTCTCTTGCGTGCCTTCTCTCTTGCGTGCCTTCTCTCTTGCGTGCCTTCTCTCTTGCGTGCCTTCTCTCTTGCGTGCCTTCTCTCTTGCGTGCCTTCTCTCTTGCGTGCCTTCTCTCTTGCGTGCCTTCTCTCTTGCGTGCCTTCTCTCTTGCGTGCCTTCTCTCTTGCGTGCCTTCTCTCTTGCGTGCCTTCTCTCTTGCGTGCCTTCTCTCTTGCGTGCCTTCTCTCTTGCGTGCCTTCTCTCTTGCGTGCCTTCTCTCTTGCGTGCCTTCTCTCTTGCGTGCCTTCTCTCTTGCGTGCCTTCTCTCTTGCGTGCCTTCTCTCTTGCGTGCCTTCTCTCTTGCGTGCCTTCTCTCTTGCGTGCCTTCTCTCTTGCGTGCCTTCTCTCTTGCGTGCCTTCTCTCTTGCGTGCCTTCTCTCTTGCGTGCCTTCTCTCTTGCGTGCCTTCTCTCTTGCGTGCCTTCTCTCTTGCGTGCCTTCTCTCTTGCGTGCCTTCTCTCTTGCGTGCCTTCTCTCTTGCGTGCCTTCTCTCTTGCGTGCCTTCTCTCTTGCGTGCCTTCTCTCTTGCGTGCCTTCTCTCTTGCGTGCCTTCTCTCTTGCGTGCCTTCTCTCTTGCGTGCCTTCTCTCTTGCGTGCCTTCTCTCTTGCGTGCCTTCTCTCTTGCGTGCCTTCTCTCTTGCGTGCCTTCTCTCTTGCGTGCCTTCTCTCTTGCGTGCCTTCTCTCTTGCGTGCCTTCTCTCTTGCGTGCCTTCTCTCTTGCGTGCCTTCTCTCTTGCGTGCCTTCTCTCTTGCGTGCCTTCTCTCTTGCGTGCCTTCTCTCTTGCGTGCCTTCTCTCTTGCGTGCCTTCTCTCTTGCGTGCCTTCTCTCTTGCGTGCCTTCTCTCTTGCGTGCCTTCTCTCTTGCGTGCCTTCTCTCTTGCGTGCCTTCTCTCTTGCGTGCCTTCTCTCTTGCCTTCTCTCTTGCGTGCCTTCTCTCTTGCGTGCCTTCTCTCTTGCGTGCCTTCTCTCTTGCGTGCCTTCTCTCTTGCGTGCCTTCTCTCTTGCGTGCCTTCTCTCTTGCGTGCCTTCTCTCTTGCGTGCCTTCTCTCTTGCGTGCCTTCTCTCTTGCGTGCCTTCTCTCTTGCGTGCCTTCTCTCTTGCGTGCCTTCTCTCTTGCGTGCCTTCTCTCTTGCGTGCCTTCTCTCTTGCGTGCCTTCTCTCTTGCGTGCCTTCTCTCTTGCGTGCCTTCTCTCTTGCGTGCCTTCTCTCTTGCGTGCCTTCTCTCTTGCGTGCCTTCTCTCTTGCGTGCCTTCTCTCTTGCGTGCCTTCTCTCTTGCGTGCCTTCTCTCTTGCGTGCCTTCTCTCTTGCGTGCCTTCTCTCTTGCGTGCCTTCTCTCTTGCGTGCCTTCTCTCTTGCGTGCCTTCTCTCTTGCGTGCCTTCTCTCTTGCGTGCCTTCTCTCTTGCGTGCCTTCTCTCTTGCGTGCCTTCTCTCTTGCGTGCCTTCTCTCTTGCGTGCCTTCTCTCTTGCGTGCCTTCTCTCTTGCGTGCCTTCTCTCTTGCGTGCCTTCTCTCTTGCGTGCCTTCTCTCTTGCGTGCCTTCTCTCTTGCGTGCCTTCTCTCTTGCGTGCCTTCTCTCTTGCGTGCCTTCTCTCTTGCGTGCCTTCTCTCTTGCGTGCCTTCTCTCTTGCGTGCCTTCTCTCTTGCGTGCCTTCTCTCTTGCGTGCCTTCTCTCTTGCGTGCCTTCTCTCTTGCGTGCCTTCTCTCTTGCGTGCCTTCTCTCTTGCGTGCCTTCTCTCTTGCGTGCCTTCTCTCTTGCGTGCCTTCTCTCTTGCGTGCCTTCTCTCTTGCGTGCCTTCTCTCTTGCGTGCCTTCTCTCTTGCGTGCCTTCTCTCTTGCGTGCCTTCTCTCTTGCGTGCCTTCTCTCTTGCGTGCCTTCTCTCTTGCGTGCCTTCTCTCTTGCGTGCCTTCTCTCTTGCGTGCCTTCTCTCTTGCGTGCCTTCTCTCTTGCGTGCCTTCTCTCTTGCGTGCCTTCTCTCTTGCGTGCCTTCTCTCTTGCGTGCCTTCTCTCTTGCGTGCCTTCTCTCTTGCGTGCCTTCTCTCTTGCGTGCCTTCTCTCTTGCGTGCCTTCTCTCTTGCGTGCCTTCTCTCTTGCGTGCCTTCTCTCTTGCGTGCCTTCTCTCTTGCGTGCCTTCTCTCTTGCGTGCCTTCTCTCTTGCGTGCCTTCTCTCTTGCGTGCCTTCTCTCTTGCGTGCCTTCTCTCTTGCGTGCCTTCTCTCTTGCGTGCCTTCTCTCTTGCGTGCCTTCTCTCTTGCGTGCCTTCTCTCTTGCGTGCCTTCTCTCTTGCGTGCCTTCTCTCTTGCGTGCCTTCTCTCTTGCGTGCCTTCTCTCTTGCGTGCCTTCTCTCTTGCGTGCCTTCTCTCTTGCGTGCCTTCTCTCTTGCGTGCCTTCTCTCTTGCGTGCCTTCTCTCTTGCGTGCCTTCTCTCTTGCGTGCCTTCTCTCTTGCGTGCCTTCTCTCTTGCGTGCCTTCTCTCTTGCGTGCCTTCTCTCTTGCGTGCCTTCTCTCTTGCGTGCCTTCTCTCTTGCGTGCCTTCTCTCTTGCGTGCCTTCTCTCTTGCGTGCCTTCTCTCTTGCGTGCCTTCTCTCTTGCGTGCCTTCTCTCTTGCGTGCCTTCTCTCTTGCGTGCCTTCTCTCTTGCGTGCCTTCTCTCTTGCGTGCCTTCTCTCTTGCGTGCCTTCTCTCTTGCGTGCCTTCTCTCTTGCGTGCCTTCTCTCTTGCGTGCCTTCTCTCTTGCGTGCCTTCTCTCTTGCGTGCCTTCTCTCTTGCGTGCCTTCTCTCTTGCGTGCCTTCTCTCTTGCGTGCCTTCTCTCTTGCGTGCCTTCTCTCTTGCGTGCCTTCTCTCTTGCGTGCCTTCTCTCTTGCGTGCCTTCTCTCTTGCGTGCCTTCTCTCTTGCGTGCCTTCTCTCTTGCGTGCCTTCTCTCTTGCGTGCCTTCTCTCTTGCGTGCCTTCTCTCTTGCGTGCCTTCTCTCTTGCGTGCCTTCTCTCTTGCGTGCCTTCTCTCTTGCGTGCCTTCTCTCTTGCGTGCCTTCTCTCTTGCGTGCCTTCTCTCTTGCGTGCCTTCTCTCTTGCGTGCCTTCTCTCTTGCGTGCCTTCTCTCTTGCGTGCCTTCTCTCTTGCGTGCCTTCTCTCTTGCGTGCCTTCTCTCTTGCGTGCCTTCTCTCTTGCGTGCCTTCTCTCTTGCGTGCCTTCTCTCTTGCGTGCCTTCTCTCTTGCGTGCCTTCTCTCTTGCGTGCCTTCTCTCTTGCGTGCCTTCTCTCTTGCGTGCCTTCTCTCTTGCGTGCCTTCTCTCTTGCGTGCCTTCTCTCTTGCGTGCCTTCTCTCTTGCGTGCCTTTTCTCTTGCGTGCCTTCTCTCCTCCTATTTTCGCCTCCTAATCCTGTTCCTCCCAACTTGGGAGGAGGACCCCCCCTGCTGCTCACAATCATGCTCCTCCCACTCCTCTTCCTCCCAATCCTGCTCCCCCCCGCTCCTCCCAATCCTGTTCCCCCCTCCTCCCAATCCTGCTCACCCCTGCTCCCCCCTGCTCTCCCCACAATCCTGTTCCTCCCAACCCGCCTGCTCATCCCAATCTCCTTCCCCCCCTCCCCCACCTCCGCGGCTGTCCCCCGCAGCGGCGGTGCTGGCGGAGTGTCAGGGGCAGTGGCAGGCGCAGCTGCGCGGATGGAGCAAGGGGGGGGACTGCGCGCAGGTGGAGGGCGTGCGCTGCAATGCGGCTGGCTTCATCGTCTCCCTGTGCGTGCTGCTTGCCCTCTTCTGACCCACTCTGATAACTCTCGAAAAAAGGGGGGAGGGGGGGGGGGGGGGGGGGGGGGGGGAGGAGGAGAAGGGGAGTCGGAGGGGCAGCGCGCATCTTACTGTGCGTGCGCCCAGCACTCCTTCCCGTCTTCTTCCCCTCCACAGTCTGCCTCCCCCCTTCCTCCCTCTCCCCCCTGACCCCGCTCTCCCCGATCCCCTCTCCAATCCCTTTCCCTTTTTTCCTGGATGGAAATCTGGCTGGGTTCATGATTGCAAGCCGGAATGGTCTGGTGCGGGCCAGGCATCATGGTGTTTCATGATTCAAAACCGACTGTGAAAATGCATGCCTGCTGGACCATGCCTTCTGGACCATGCCTGTAGGCTGGACAAGCCTACTGGCTGATTTCCATGCCACACACACTGCAAGACTGCACGCATCATGCCTTGAGCCAATGGCTTGGGTGCACGTGCGCACATGCACGGAGCATTGCATGGTATCTATTCTACACCCCCCCTCCTGCAGCACCAAGACCCCCACGCCCCATGCCCCTTCATGCCTCCATGCCGCCATGCCCCCTCATGCCTCCATGCCCCCTCACGAATCCATGCTCCCATGTCCCCTCATGCCTCCATGCCCCCTCACGAATCCATGCTCCCATGTCCCCTCATGCCTCCATGCCCCCTCACGAATCCATGCTCCCATGTCCCCTCATGCCTCCATGCCCCCTCACGAATCCATGCTCCCATGTCCCCTCATGCCTCCATGCCCCCTCACGAATCCATGCTCCCATGTCCCCTCATGCCTCCATGCCCCCTCACGAATCCATGCTCCCATGTCCCCTCATGCCTCCATGCCCCCTCACGAATCCATGCTCCCATGTCCCCTCATGCCTCCATGCCCCCTCACGAATCCATGCTCCCATGTCCCCTCATGCCTCCATGCCCCCTCACGAATCCATGCTCCCATGTCCCCTCATGCCTCCATGCCCCCTCACGAATCCATGCTCCCATGTCCCCTCATGCCTCCATGCCCCCTCACGAATCCATGCTCCCATGTCCCCTCATGCCTCCATGCCCCCTCACGAATCCATGCTCCCATGTCCCCTCATGCCTCCATGCCCCCTCACGAATCCATGCTCCCATGTCCCCTCATGCCTCCATGCCCCCTCACGAATCCATGCTCCCATGTCCCCTCATGCCTCCATGCCCCCTCACGAATCCATGCTCCCATGTCCCCTCATGCCTCCATGCCCCCTCACGAATCCATGCTCCCATGTCCCCTCATGCCTCCATGCCCCCTCACGACTCCATGCTCCCATGTCCCCTCATGCCTCCATGCCCCCTCACGAATCCATGCTCCCATGTCCCCTCATGCCTCCATGCCCCCTCACGAATCCATGCTCCCATGTCCCCTCATGCCTCCATGCTCCCTCACGACTCCATGCTCCCATGTCCCCTCATGCCTCCATGCCCCCTCACGAATCCATGCTCCCATGTCCCCTCATGCCTCCATGCCCCCTCACGAATCCATGCTCCCATGTCCCCTCATGCCTCCATGCCCCCTCACGAATCCATGCTCCCATGTCCCCTCATGCCTCCATGCCCCCTCACGAATCCATGCTCCCATGTCCCCTCATGCCTCCATGCCCCCTCACGAATCCATGCTCCCATGTCCCCTCATGCCTCCATGCCCCCTCACGAATCCATGCTCCCATGTCCCCTCATGCCTCCATGCCCCCTCACGAATCCATGCTCCCATGTCCCCTCATGCCTCCATGCCCCCTCACGAATCCATGCTCCCATGTCCCCTCATGCCTCCATGCCCCCTCACGAATCCATGCTCCCATGTCCCCTCATGCCTCCATGCCCCCTCACGAATCCATGCTCCCATGTCCCCTCATGCCTCCATGCCCCCTCACGAATCCATGCTCCCATGTCCCCTCATGCCTCCATGCCCCCTCACGAATCCATGCTCCCATGTCCCCTCATGCCTCCATGCCCCCTCACGAATCCATGCTCCCATGTCCCCTCATGCCTCCATGCCCCCTCACGACTCCATGCTCCCATGTCCCCTCATGCCTCCATGCCCCCTCACGAATCCATGCTCCCATGTCCCCTCATGCCTCCATGCCCCCTCACGAATCCATGCTCCCATGTCCCCTCATGCCTCCATGCCCCCTCACGAATCCATGCTCCCATGTCCCCTCATGCCTCCATGCCCCCTCACGAATCCATGCTCCCATGTCCCCTCATGCCTCCATGCCCCCTCACGAATCCATGCTCCCATGTCCCCTCATGCCTCCATGCCCCCTCACGAATCCATGCTCCCATGTCCCCTCATGCCTCCATGCCCCCTCACGAATCCATGCTCCCATGTCCCCTCATGCCTCCATGCCCCCTCACGACTCCATGCTCCCATGTCCCCTCATGCCTCCATGCCCCCTCACGAATCCATGCTCCCATGTCCCCTCATGCCTCCATGCCCCCTCACGAATCCATGCTCCCATGTCCCCTCATGCCTCCATGCCCCCTCACGAATCCATGCTCCCATGTCCCCTCATGCCTCCATGCCCCCTCACGAATCCATGCTCCCATGTCCCCTCATGCCTCCATGCCCCCTCACGAATCCATGCTCCCATGTCCCCTCATGCCTCCATGCCCCCTCACGAATCCATGCTCCCATGTCCCCTCATGCCTCCATGCCCCCTCACGAATCCATGCTCCCATGTCCCCTCATGCCTCCATGCTCCCTCACGACTCCATGCTCCCATGTCCCCTCATGCCTCCATGCCCCCTCACGAATCCATGCTCCCATGTCCCCTCATGCCTCCATGCCCCCTCACGAATCCATGCTCCCATGTCCCCTCATGCCTCCATGCCCCCTCACGAATCCATGCTCCCATGTCCCCTCATGCCTCCATGCCCCCTCACGAATCCATGCTCCCATGTCCCCTCATGCCTCCATGCCCCCTCACGAATCCATGCTCCCATGTCCCCTCATGCCTCCATGCCCCCTCACGAATCCATGCTCCCATGTCCCCTCATGCCTCCATGCCCCCTCACGACTCCATGCTCCCATGTCCCCTCATGCCTCCATGCCCCCTCACGAATCCATGCTCCCATGTCCCCTCATGCCTCCATGCCCCCTCACGAATCCATGCTCCCATGTCCCCTCATGCCTCCATGCCCCCTCACGAATCCATGCTCCCATGTCCCCTCATGCCTCCATGCCCCCTCACGACTCCATGCTCCCATGTCCCCTCATGCCTCCATGCCCCCTCACGAATCCATGCTCCCATGTCCCCTCATGCCTCCATGCCCCCTCACGACTCCATGCTCCCATGTCCCCTCATGCCTCCATGCCCCCTCACGAATCCATGCTCCCATGTCCCCTCATGCCTCCATGCCCCCTCACGAATCCATGCTCCCATGTCCCCTCATGCCTCCATGTTTCCATGCCCCACGTGCCCTCCATCCCCATACCCCTTATGCCCCGAATGCCTCTCATGCCACCCATGCCCCCTATGGCCCCGATGCCCCCCATGCTCCCCACCCCATGCCCCCAATTCCCCCCTGTAGGAACGTGACTGCGAAGCAGTTGGAGGGACCTATTCCAGATGCCATTGGAAACCTCACCGCACTCACTCAACTGTATGCTGCACCATGCCTTGTGTGAATGCATGCCATGTGAGGCCACGCCATGTGAGGCCATGCCATGTGAGGCCATGCCATGTGAGGCCATGCCATGCCATACTACTGCATGCGGCAATCCATGCAGCTATGAGTTCCATCTACCCATGGCTGGCCCATCTACAGCATGCCTCTAACCTCTTTCGTTCTATTACTTTCTTGCCTCACTCACACGCCTCTGTCGTACAACCTCATTTCACACGCACATAACTATCTAGGCTGATGGAAGTAAGGCCTTTGCAGTCCACCTGTCCCTTGTTGACACATCTTGCCTCCTCACAAGCCTCTGTCGTACAACCTCATTGCCTGCCTCATTCCCATGCCATATGTGCCTCCCGGGTTCTTCTCCCTGCGTCCTTGAACTCATCTGCCTCCCTCACCGCACTGCACACCCCTTTATCCAGGCATCTCTCAAGCACAAAGCTCATCGGCTCCATTCCAGCCACTGTGCCTCGCCTCACCCGCTTAGAAGAGCTGTGAGTAGCATATAAGCCGTGCTGCAGACAACTCCCGAGGCAACTCAAAACCATAATTACATGCATACATGTCAAGGCAAGATGGATCCAGTTTTAAGAAATCGAAAAGGCGAAACCGTTGTTACAATACATACATGGCAAGTCAAGCTGGAGTTGCGCTCCCTCCCACGCTTTACGCCATCATATCATCGCTGACATCAGGTCACATGAGAAGTGGTGCCTAGTGTATCTCGTGAGAAGAAGGTATTTCACATCCCTCATCTGGGCAATACCTAGTAATGAGTGTCAAGCCGCCTTGAAATCAATCTCATCAGAAGAATGCCTCTCACATACACGTTAACGGTTAACCTCCTTGGTCCTCCTGAATGAGCCTCTTAACAAACCCACCTCAGCTCGTTACCTTGTATGCAGCTGGGTTTGCTCTGAGCTGAGGTTTGTGTAACTGCATACAAGGTAGCGGTGGTGAGTTTCAAGGTCATGGTGAATGCATGGCGATGGTAGGATGGATGGTGCAGGTTTACAGTCAAACAGGCTCACCACTAGAGTAGAGCTCTGGCACTGGCTGCTGCTGTGCTGTGCTGCCAAGCGTCCACTTGACATGACATGTAGTTTCTCTTCTCCGTGTTCCCCCCACCCTCTGTCCCCGCCTGAACCGAGACGATTTTTGAGGCGCCTAAGAAAACTCCGGCTGCTGCTGTGCTGTGCTGCCAAGCGAGCGACCACTTGACATGACTTGATGTTTCTCCGTGTCCCCCCCACCCTCTCTCCCCGCCCCTGCATGTGACTCGCATGACAGAACTCTCAGTTTCAACCGTTTGTCAGGCCCCATCCCAGAGGCCATTGGTGATCTTGCTGCGCTCTCAAGCTTGTAAGCGCGCATCATAAATCCTGTCCATTCACCATGCCATGTCATACATGCCACATGGCCAAGAAAAACCTGGGCAGCCCGCATTAAAGAAAAAAAGTTTCCTTGAAAAATCAGCCAGGGTCTTGTTTCCGCGCTAAAAATGTGCCCCCCAAAACAACTTGACACTTTTCACCCCCAACACCCCCTAAACAAACCCAAATATTTACACCACCACCCCCTAAACATCTGCCCCTTGTTGTGCCTTGCTTCCCATATGTACCTTGTTGTGCCTTGCTTTGCTTCCCATATGTACCTTGTGTTAGTGTTAGCCCTCAATCTCACGTTTTGTACTTGCACTTTTATATCCTAGTGTAGTGTGCACTTTGTGTTTGGTTGGGTGTACACCCACAACCCAACCAAACCCAAATGTGATCTCCAAGCAATCTCCAACCCACCAATTGGAGATTGCCTTGGGATTACCCCCAATCCCCTAGGATTGCCCCCGATTCTCTCCCCATCCTTACCTAGCCTATTTCCGATGTACTTAAAGAGCTTAGAGCTCATTACTAATCTATGGATTCTAAGCTCAAGTTCTAACATGGTATCAGAGCGTTTCAAACGCACACGCGTATCGTGATCCCCCTATCTCTGCGGACTCTTGTCCCGCATTCTTCGGCGTAGCCGCCATCAATTCCGTCGCCGGCGATTCGCGACATTTGTGGCCGGAAACTTTCCCGCGCCACTCTCCCTACACTCTCGACGACTTCCGCGACTTCTCTGGTAAGCGCATCATAGGCGCTTTCACTAATTGCGTTTTAACCCTAAAAATCGTTCCCGCCAATTCCTCTCGTCGGGCCGTCGCCCGTCGCCCTGCAGCTTCTCGTCGGGCCGTCGCCCGTCGCTCTGCAGCTTCTCGTCGGGCCGTCGCCCGTCGCCCTGCAGCTTCTCGTCGAGCCGTCGCCCGTCGCCCTGCAGCTTCTCGTCGGGCCGTCGCCCGTCGCCTTGCAGCTTCTCGTCGGGCCGCCACCCGTCGCCCCGCAGCATCACCTTCGGGCCGCCGCCCGTCGCCCCGCAGCGTCATCTTCGGGCCGCCGCCCGTCGCCCCGCAGCGTCACCTTCGGGCTGCCGCCCGTCGCCCCGCATCGGCACTCCCATCGTCCCGCAGCTGAACAGGTGCAGCCGAGCAGCCGTGCAGCAGCGAAGCCGTGAAGCTGAGGGACAGGGCCGGGGCGGGGACTCGGGTTAGTTGTTAGTACTGAAATCGGCGATTTTAACCTATTTTCGCCGACCTCTCAAAACCTATTACCGACATTCCGAAGCGGCCGGCATTGACGATTTTCACTACTTGCGTCCCTACCTTACAATTCTCCCTCATAAACCCCACCTCAAAATTCTCCTTCATAAACCCTACTTTACAATTCTCCTTCGAAAATCCTAAACCCGAAGTTCCTATCGGTGACTTAAGAGCGGCGCTTCGCGCGAGACACAAAGGGGGTCTTCATCATGGCCTTCACCTCGTCCACCTTCGCCAACCCCATCACCCCACTCCGCCTTGAAGCCGACGGGTCTAGCTCCAACTTCAAGGCATGGAGCTACGGGGTTGACAAGCACCTCCTGAGCCGTGACGTGCAGGGATTGGACCTCAAGGACGTCCTCCTCAACCGTGGCAAGGGGAAACAACCCCCTCCCCCCATTGAGCCAACTGATTCTGCAAGTGATGCTGACATAATTGCGTACGGGGATGCTGTTGACAAATACCGTAAATGGGAGAAGGCCGATGCTGCTATCATCAGCGTCTTCATCGGATCCACCCCTCCCGATCTTGTCAACAAGTTCCACAACTATCCCACTTCCAGCGCCATCTGGAAGTATCTCCAGGATCGATTCATGAACAAGACGGCAGTCGGAGTTGCCATTCTCATCCCCAGCATGTTCCAAGTCCGCCTTGAGGATTGCTCGGGAATGGCTGACTACATTGCCAAGGTGCAGACCATTCACGGTGAACTCAAGGAGCTGGGGATAGTCTTCCCCGAACAAGCTCCTGCAGCCGCCCTTCTTGTTGGCCTCACCTCGGCATACGAAGTAACGAGGAAGATGCTCCTCACATCCTCGGCGGAAGACCTCACCTTTGCTAAGGTCTCCTCCGCCCTCCTCTCTGCCGAGAAAGACTCCATGGCTCAAGCCAAGGCTTACGCCCTCCGTGCTCCCGTGCCTCAAGCAAGTGTCGCCTCGGCACCATTCCAGCGCAACCGCTTCCCCCCGTGCACCTACGTCGTCAAGTATGGCAACCGCAAGGGACACGTGTGTGGTGGCACCAACCACCCCCTCGCCACGTGCTTCAAGAAGCCGCCGAACTGGATGCGCCCTTGTAAGGCTAACCTAGTTGAGGTCCAGGACCCTGCTCCGGCTAGTGCTAGTGATAGTGCTCCTGCTGATGTGCGTATCAACTTGCTGTTCCCTGGCACTGCCATGATTAATGAAGCAAGCTCCCAGTACATCGGCTCATCACAAGCACCACAATACATAGAATTCACACTCGACAGTGGTGCCACTCACACAGTGCTCAAAGAGACACTCTCCTTCAAACCCTACCCTACTCCCATTCCTCTCTTTGGAGCTGACTCAAGCTTCACCACTTTTGCCAAGGGTTCGTCCACTGTCCCATGCCCCGCATTTCCATCCGGCACTGTCACTGGCATGTGCGTGCCCTCACTACGCCACAATCTATTGGCCCAAAAGGAACTTCAGGCTGCTGGACTCCGCACCATAATCTCGGAATACGAGGACTGTTCTGACATCATTGACCCACTCACCAACAAGATCTTAGCTCGCTTCACCCTCAACAGCAGCGGCCTCTACACGCTGCGTGTACCTATCCCACAGGTGTCAACCACCCAAGCACAGGCTGCCATCACACCATGCTCATGTCGCAGTTTCTCTAACCCGACCGTCCTCTACCACTATCGGCTCGGGCACCCAAACTTCCGCACGCTTGCTGACATGGCCTCCAAGAAGCTTCTTCTCGGCCTGCCAGCCTCACTTCCTCCACCACCCGACTCGCCCACTCCCACGTGCCTTGACTGTACCAAGAGCAAGCTACGCCAACAGCCCCACCCTGCCTCACCCTCAGTAGCAGCAGCCCCATTGGATCTAGTGCACATGGACGCCTGGGGCCCTGCCCCGGTTGCCGCACGAGGTGGCCATCGTTATTTCCTTCTGATAGTTGATGACCACACTCGCTATGTCTCTGTGCACCTCCTCCACACTAAGGCTGAAGCTCCAGAGGCCATCATGGCATGGGTTAACCAGGCACATACCACCTTTGGCACCAAGGTCAAGCGCCTCCTTTTGGATGGTGGTGGTTAATTTTGCAACACCAAACTTGAAGCCTTCTGCTCCTCTCTCGGCATTCTGCAAAACTTCACCCTTCCTGACAGCCCGCAGGAGAACGGCATAGCAGAGAGCCGTAATCACACCTTGGTGCAAATCACTCGCTGCCTCCTCAGCCACTCCCACGCACCGCTCTCGCTCTGGGGGTACGCCCTCTACCATGCCGCCCTCCTCTACAATCTATATCCCCACCCGCATCTCCCCGACACCACTCCCACCACGCTCTGGCTCGGGAAAACACCCACTGCTCGCCCCCTTCGCGTTTGGGGGTGCACCGCCTATGTCCTCCTCAACCCCCAGGCTCGGCGACGGCAAGGTGGCAAACTTGGTCCCAAAACTCAAACGTGCATCTACCTTGGGCATAACGCTGACTCCCCCGACTACCTTTTCCTCAACCCCTCGACTCAACAACTAGTCCGGAGCCGCGATGTCGCCTTTGATGAGACTCGCCCCTTCTACTCCACCCCGGGGGGGGATCCCCCCTCCAGACCACCCTCCCTTGTGTGGGCTGACTTTGAAGCACCTCCTGAACTTCCGCCTGCACCAGCTCCCTCACCTCCTACCTCTCCTGCCATCGCACCATCTCCGTCTGAGGTCTCTGACCCGACCTCTCCGGTGTCCTCGGCAGCTGCTCCTCCTTCCCCCCCTTCTACCACTCTGCCAACTGCGCCCTCACTACCAAGCGCACCAATCACATACCATCGGCGGTCGAACCCTCCAGCCCCACCTCCTCCCCCCGTTCCCTCCTCCTCTGAGGAACCTGCTCTCCCACAACCGAGCAAACTGATCACGTACCAGCGATGGCCGCTCCCTCCCCCCAAGCCTCCTAAACCGTCCCCTCCAGGAACGCCTGCTCCACCCTCTTCTCCGGTAGCTCATGGCACTCGGTCGCATGGGGCTGCTCCTCCACTGGCACTTGCCATTCGATGCTCAGTGATCACTCCGACTCCTCCTGCTGGGGGGGATGTGCCCTCTACCCTTCTGGAAGACAGGCATGAGGAGCTGTGTGATCTCCACGCTGTCATTCCTCAGCTCTCGCACATCTTCCCCGATATCACTGAATCCCCCTCGCTCAACTTCTCGGAGAACCCGACCATCCCTATCCCTCTCCGTCCAAGAGGCTCTTTCGGGTCCCCATGCTGCCGAGTGGCGCGCTGCCATGGAAGCTGAGTGTGAAGCCTTCACTCGCAGCCACTCCTTCGACGACGAAACTCCACCTCCAGGAGTTAACATCGTTGGGGGCAAGTGGCTGTTTCGAGTAAAGCAGCTTCCGGACGAGGCCCCAGTGTTCAAAGCGCGCTATGTTGCCAAGGGATTCACTCAGCAGCAGTACTTTGACTTCTTCAAAACCTTCTCTCCCACATCCAAACCACCCACAGTTCGCACGCTCTTGGATGTAGCCGCACGAGATGACTTTGAGATCAAATCCATGAACGCCTCTTCGGCATTCCTGCAAGGACACCTCAAGGAGACTGTGTTTATGGACCGACCTGAAGGCTTTCCAGGAGAGTTCCCTCCCAACACTGTCTGGAAGTTGAATCGCCCTGTTTATGGCCTCAAACAAGCCCCTCGTGAATGGCACAACAAAGTGAAACAAGTCCTTCTCTCATTGGACTTTCACCCATCATCTGCTGACCCGACTCTCTTCATTCGCCGTCACTCTGAGCCATTCTACATCCTTGTCTACGTCGATGACTTCATCCTCGTTGCCAAGGACTCGACCCAGATGACCTCTGTCCAGGCGGCCCTGAGCGAGGCCCTCCTAATAAAAGACCTCGGTGACCTCAAGCACTACCTGGGGATGGAGATCACTCGTGATCGCCAGGCTCGCACCATCTCACTCTCCCAGGAGTTCTACATCAACAATGTACTCAAGCGGTTCGAGATGGAGCTGTGCACACCCATGGCCACCCCGTTACCACTGCAGCACCTCCTCACAGCTCCAGCTGTTCCCACACCGGAGGCCTGCTCCGAGCCATACCCAGAGCTTGTTGAGTCCCTCATGTACGCCATGATGTGCACCCGGCCTGACCTGGCATACCCTGTCAATGTCCTCTCTCGCTATGTGGCTCCTGGACGCTTCACTGAACTCCACTGGAGTGCGGCTAAGCGGGTACTGCGCTACCTGAAGGGCACCAAGTCTCATGTCCTCACACTTGGTGGTCTTTCTCCTCCTCGCCTGGAAGGCTACACTGACTCCTCTTGGGCTGATGACCAGACCGACCGCCGCTCCTCCCAGGGCTACTGTTTCACCCTTGGCAGTGGAGTTGTTAGCTGGCGCTCCACCAGGTCATCTGCAGTCTCCCTCTCCTCCTGTGAGGCAGAGCTTTACGCTGGCACCATGGCGGCTCAAGAGGCCCGTTGGCTCACCTTCCTCCTCCAGGAGCTTGGCTACCCTCAGCCCACCCCCACCCTCTGGTGTGACAACAAGAGTACCATCCACATTTCCCAGGATCTTGTGTACCACACTCGCACCAAGCACATCGAACTTCGCCACTTCTTCATTCGTGACCTTGTCCAGCGTGAACATTTGAACGTGGAGTACGTTGCATCTGACTGCAACCTGGCTGATCTGTTCACCAAGCCCCTTGGGAAGGTTCCTCACCATCGTCTTCTTGGCACCATGGGGCTATGTGCCCCACCTTCTCCACCTTAAGTTCGATTGACGTCTATGGGGGGGTGTTAGTGTTAGCCCTCAATCTCACGTTTTGTACTTGCACTTTTATATCCTAGTGTAGTGTGCACTTTGTGTTTGGTTGGGTGTACACCCACAACCCAACCAAACCCAAATGTGATCTCCAAGCAATCTCCAACCCACCAATTGGAGATTGCCTTGGGATTACCCCCAATCCCCTAGGATTGCCCCCGATTCTCTCCCCATCCTTACCTAGCCCATTTCCGATGTACTTAAAGAGCTTAAAGCTCATTACTAATCTATGGATTCTAAGCTCAAGTTCTAACACCTTGTCGTGCCTTGCTTCCCATATGCTCCTCGTTGTGCCTGGATAGGTCTCTTGATGAGAACAAGCTCAGTGGCACAGTCCCTTCATCCGTCTTCCGCCTCACCAATCTCACCTTGCTGTGCCTTGCTCCCCATATGCCCCTCGTTGTGCCTGCATAGGTCTTTTGAGGAGAACAAGCTCACAGGCGCAATCCCTTCATCCATCATCCGCCTCACCAATCTCACCTTGCTGTGAGAACCTTTCTCCACCACAGCCAATCTTCTTTCTGTGTTTGACCTTCCCCAGGCTCCACTCGCACGCTCCTGCATCATAATCCTCATGGTGGCCCTCCTCTTGCGCCAGAGGGCGGTCACTGACCATCATTGACCATCATTGACCATCATTGACCATCATTGACCATCATTGACCATCATTGACCATCATTGACCATCATTGACCATCATTGACCATCATTGACCATCATTGACCATCATTGACCATCATTGACCATCATTGACCCTCATTGACCATCATTGACCATCATTGACCATCATTGACCCTCATTGACCATCATTGACCCTCACTGACCATCACTGACCCTCACTGACCATCACTGACCCTCACTGAGCGTAATGAACAGACAGTGTGTATAAAGAGCACGATGAGCAACCCTGATGGGCATACCTTGTAGCAGCCTTCAGTGCCAATGCACAATGCTGAAATGAATGAAACGCATGAGATGGTAACGAGTGATAGCTAGCAGGCAAGAGAAATGTCTCTGTCTTGTGCGTGTCTCTGCGTTGTGCGTGTCTCTGTGTTGTGCGTGTCTCTGCGTTGTGCGTGTCTCTGCGTTGTGCGTTCATGAGGTGACTTCTGAGTCGACTCAAAAGTCACCTTGACAGCAGGCAAGAGAAATGTCTCTGTGTTGTGCGTTCATGACAAATGAGTCCATGCTGTGCCGCTCTCTCTCTCCTGCTTG